GCACGCTTATACATTGCTGGTGGGACTGCAAATTAGTGAAGCCAATATGGAAAAAAGTATGGAGATTCTTTGAAAAACTTGGAATGGAACCACCATTTGACTCAGCTATTCCACTCCTTGGTCTACACCTAAAGGACTTAAATAGCATACTACAGGAACACTGCCACATCGGTGATTATTGCAGCACAATTCACAATAGCTAAATTGTGGAACCAACCCAGATGCCCTTCAGTTGATGAATGGATAAAGAAACTGTGGTATATATATACAAAATGGAATATTATTCAGCATTAAAATAGAATAAAATGGTGGAATAAGATAGATATCATTACCCTAAGTACATGTATGAAGACATGAATGGTGTGATTCTGTGAGCAAACAGAGACATGAAAAATTGTGCCCTGTATGTGTACTAGGAAGTGAAATGCATTCTGCTATCATGTATAACAAATCAGAGTAAATAAATAAATTTTTAAAAATTGGATGTATATATGAACAGCTGGTAATCAAATATGATGTGAATTTGGTACTTTGAAAAGGGCTTTTATATTAAACGTATGGTGATAGCAGAGCATCACTATTTTTGAATCCTTTGAGATAAAACTATAATACTTTTATAATAAATAGTTACTGATGGAAAAAAAATTCTTTCATTGGGTTACTCTACCATCCCTTGGGAAAGGGGGTTAAATTGTTTTTGTTTTGTTTTGTTTTTGTGGCATGCAGGCCTTTGGCATTGTGGTGAAGCCAAAGAACAATTAAGAGCAAACATAATAATTGAAAACAAAAGAACAAATTTCATCAAGTATAATCCTTTGTATTATAAAGGGAATTAAGTATCAAATATTTAAAGTTTGTGACCTAGTAATACATAATAATACATGTATTTATTAATGTTTTTAGTAATAAGGTGTAAATATGAACATAATTATGACTATAATTTTGAACTTCTAATCAATGTAAATGATTTTGAGATATTTGTAGCAATGTAAACAGATATAAAAATCTATGATTTCTATTTTTTCCCCTACATTCATAAATGAAGGAATTGCTAAATCCAGTTGTGGCTTAATGAAAGCAAAAACATTTTTTTTCCCCAACACATCAGTTCCTGGACCCTGGGAATTCCATCTTTGGAGCCCTTGTGAGACAGTCAGACCTCTCCTACAAAGTTCAGAGACCTCAATGGCCAGCTTGATAGTTATTAAAAGCATGGTATGTGCTTTCCCCTGCACTCTGTTTTAACTCATGGCTTTTTAGCTATAAAGAGCATAATGTGTGCCTTTCCTGTACCCTCATTCACTAACTCTGTCACTAGCCTCAGAAACAGATATATGATTAAAACCAGGATACTTCCCCAACAAACAAAAAGGATAAAACTTTTGAGGAGTCACCAACACAGAAAATTGCCAGGGCCCTTAACTTGTTTCTGCCCTAATTTGTGTTCACTCCCATTTCTCATCTGTGTTCTCTTAACAGCTACAGCAGCTCATCCTTATCCCAGGGCAGAACTATTTATACCAGATGCAGCAAGATAATTAAAAAGTAACATTTTACACCAAGACGACCAGCTGACTACCCCTCCCTCAAGATTGAAAAGTTTGCCCAAAGAAAAACACCTTTTAAAATGCATCTAAAGCCAATTAATAGTCCTAAACTCTGGTGCACCTCCTCCCCCTTTCACATGAATAAAACTAGCTCCTTTGTCCTAAGAGCCAGCTTGACTCTGTCACTGCTGGGTCTCCCTTCTGCTGGAACAAGAAGTCCCAGTAGACTTGTTCTCATCCCCCAGGGCCTTTATCTGATTCTCTGATAGACTGCACAGGAACCCACCGAGCTGGCAACCCTTGGCAGCATGTGCAGCCCACATGAAGCCTCCTTGAGACATTCTTGTCATCTGCATCAGGAAACTTAAGTCTCTATTATGGTTCTGAAAACAGGTATAACAAAAAAGAATTGAATAGTGGTCAACAAAGGAAATATCAAAGAACTAATAGAAAAAAGAGTTAAAGAAAATGTTTAAAGAAAGAAAATGATTAATAAATAACTGAAAATTTATATTCAAAGGATAATATCACTCTAATAACTCAAATCAGAAGTCACCAACTAAGAAGCTCCTGCTACAAAGGTAATATAAAGGCATACTGCTCCCCACAATTTAGTTCTGGTTGCTTCCTATATAATTTGCTTTATATCCAAGAGGCCTTAGGACTTTGGGCTTAGGGTATTGCAGAATTCCTGATGTGTGCCTGGAGTTCAAAGTAATTTTTTTCTATATTTAAAGTAAAATATCACTTATTTGAACATACTGGATTAACTAGTTGACACTAGAAATGTCTAGGATAGAATAATCCAACATGTAATAATATTATCAACAATAGATGCTAGCATAACAATTTATTATTCAAGAACTACTTTCACACGCATTCTTCTTACAAGTCTCAAAATTGCTTGCTGATATTCTATAATATCCCATAAAATATGATTCTTTGAAAGACTGTGGATCTTTTTCTTGTTTTTTCAAATATTGGTCCCCCATCTTTCTACATTTATTGAAGCACTACTTGAATTTTAATCTTCAGTAGGTAACACAAACTTGTTAGAAAGGGCTGTAGATAAGCCAGGCATGGTGGTATATACTTGTAATCCAGCCACTCAGAAGGCTGAGGCAAGAGGATTACAAGTTCAAGGCAAGCCTGGGCAACATAATGAGATCCCTTCTCAAAATAAAACATAAAAAGGGCTAGGGATATAGTTCAGTGGTAGAGCATCCCTGGGTTCAATCCTCAGGAAAGAAAGAAGAGGGAGGCAGGGAAAGAAAGACATATGTGCATGTGATTGTGACCTTATTTGTCCTTGGAATCATCTCTAAGGTATCCAAACTCAGATGCTCAGAATTCCCCCTTGGTCACCTAAAGAACTAGGGTATAAAGGATAAAAGAATGTGCTTTGAGCCAACCTCCCAGCCAGTCTACTGGCACATGATTCCCTATTATTCCAAGAATGCTTAATATGAGTTAGAGTCTGAAGGTAAATTCTGGATGTAAGCTGAACATTCTGATATTCTAATAATAATGTGGCTCAGTGAGAAATTCCATGATGGTAGCTTAGCTATAAGCCATCCTTGAAGATGTTGATAGAAAGCATATTTCAGTGTCTCTGTCTATCCATAAACTGCACCTTGGACTAAATACTCTTTCTCCTTTCAGCAAAGTTCCCACAGTTTGTACCTCCAGAGGTGGTTTTTTCCCCTGGAGTTCCCATAGAACATAGCCCAGCAAATTAAAGCCCAGAAGTTAGTCAGGCAATGAGTTTAGAAGTCAGATCTCTAGTTGTCTTCTGAAAACTATAGATAACCCTCTCTAGGGTCACTCTTCGGTGCCCTGCAATTCCTTTGTACCCAGGAGTCATTCTTTGATGTTTGCAGCCTTTGCTCGAGGCTATTCTCAGAGTGAACTCAAGTGTTCTACATGAGAAGGTGTAGGATCAGGTTCACACAAAAAGATATCCTTGACCCTGCCCTCCATTCCACCAGCAGCACAAATCATCAGGAGTGCTGTGCCTCCCACTGTCATTCCTTTGTCCACTACTGAATACTCCTTGGGCACTAAGAGAAGAAAGACGCAGACTCTGCTCTTCCCTTCCCTATACTGATACCAAGCGCAAACAGTGACAGGATCGCAGAATCTGAATAAGGTGAGTTAGAAAACTATGCATAGGAAGCTTGGGTGAAAGGCCCAGAAACACTGGAAGGAGCTTGATCGACTTTTTAGATAGAAATTACAGAAAAAGGAGGCTTCAATTCAACTCCCACTAATGTAGTCTTTCCCCCACCTGCTCCTCCAAACCCTGATCTTCCAAAGCATATACACATCCTAGTAGACTCTCTCAGGTCTGTCTTGAAGGAAATATTATTGGGTCCATTGAAGGACACTGGTATTCAGAGTTGCAAATCAGGATAGAGATTCAATAGGGCCAAGTACATTCTTCATGCAAATGAGGGCAGAGTCCTAGTTTAAGGAGGAGAGTTTTCAAATAACTCCCTCTTCTAGGTCAGAGTTACTCCTGTGAAGGCAGTTTTAGTCTTAGTACTTACTTGATTAGAGCAATATTTCAAAACTCGAGTTCCTTTACCACAACATTCTCAACAAGCAGCTCTGTCAAATTGAGATCATTTGTAACGAGGGTTGGGGAAATGGCCCCTGAGAAGGGATGTGTAAACCCAGGCTTTGGGTGGCTGTTTTAAGGAAGTTAAGGTTAGAGAAGCATCATCATGCAAAGTCAGCATAATTGCAGCCTGGGCTATGATTTCAGGGAACCAAAGCCTTTCACCTAGAAAATATCTCCCAAGAAGTTGTTTATCTTCTACATGCCCATAAAAGGTGACAACCATTTCTACTTTACAGACATAGGTTTAAAATGCCACATTCTTTAGGACACATGATTTCCTGCAAGTCAATTGGGGGAAAGGAGCTTACTAGAGATAGCTATAGTCCTTTGGGTTCCATGGGTCTTATAGAGGGGAGGGCAATAGAAAGAATTCTTAAACGTTGTCTACTTTTTCCAAATTTTGTTCTTGGTACACTCAGTCTGCAACACATTTTTATTTTCTATAAATATTATTATCTAAAAGAGTTGTCATCTAAGTTGGGCACAGTGGTACATGCTTATAATTCCAGCAACTCAGGAGGCTAAAAGCAGGAGAATCACTAAGTTCAAGGCCAACCTGGACAACTTAGCAAGGCCCTAAGCAACTTAGTGAGACTTTTCTTAAAAAATACAAAGGGGATGATGTAGTTCAGTGGTAAAGCATCTCTGGGTTCAATTCCCAGAACCCCTCTGCCCAAAAAAAGAGTTATCATCTTCTAGTATAGGAATCAAATAGTGAAATTAGGCCCAAGTGCCCTCATTGGCAGGAACAGGAATTTTGAAGTGCAGCGCAACCCTCCAGGCATGCCTTAATATTTTCCTCTCTCTTCCCTGTGCATACACAGGTGGTCCTGGTCACTGAGATGGCGTCCTCTCTAAAGGTCTGGGTCACTCTCTTGGCCCTGCTGTGTCTCCAATGCAGTTTACTTTTGCACAGTGAGAACATTTCCAGGAGGAAATTTATGGAAGAACATCACCTAAGTCCAAGCCAAGATTTTGCTTCCTACAAATGTAACAATCTCATGAAAAAAGGAAATCTGAGCCACAAGCTCTCTCACATGTTCATTTATATCTCATGGTACAAAATTGAGCATATATGCATTAGTAGCAAATGGAATGACCGTTATAGAAATACATACATATGGGCCCAGCGTCCCATCAAAACACTCACTTGTCACTGGGAGAAATTAAATAACTACAGAGAGACCAGGAGCTATAGCCATATTCAATTCCATTGTAGCATGGATGGGTATGTTGACAATATAGAAGATGTGAAGCTCATAAAGCCTCTCTTCAACTAGACAGTCTGTCTGGGACCTCAGGTTGGGGAGAACATTTCGTGATTTTCAGGTGATGGCCCTGCATACATCAACGGCCACTGCCACTCCCCAGTTTGCATTTTCATGTCAATGTTTTCCAACCGGAGTTATGGATCATAGTCTCATGATAGTACAATTTTGATTTTGTTGTTCTCTGCCTGTAATAATAGTCTGTCCTCATTTACTACCTAAGTTACTCCTAAGTGTTCTTTCAAGGTTCAGCTCATGTGACATCTCTTCTCGACTAATCCAGGACTTTTCCTGACATTGACATCTTTAAACCTACCAAGCTGAATGACCTTTCCTTCTATAAATAAAGTATGTTATTCCAATGTGTATGATGAGCCTATTTATGCATGCAGTTTGTATTATATCACTAGTATGAGCAGTGTGGCTGCACTTACTACGGTGTATGAGTAGATGTGATTGTATTGTACATAGGTCTGTGTGTGCCTAAATGTATGGAATATGTTTATGTATCTGGGTATATAAACATGTTTGTATGTGCTAAGCTGAAGGCAAGCCATGACCTAAGCATTTTTGTGGTAGCATCCTTAGATCCACCCAAATGAGTGGCACAGGCAGAGCTGACTGATAGTCACATGGCTCCTGGCTCACAGTAGGTACTCCAAGGAAAATTGACTTTTTCTTTCCTCATTCTTTGGATAAAACATGAGACTTTAGTCATCTGCTCTCCCTGACTAGAAGAGGGGGATTTCTAATATGCAAAGCATAGTAGGCTGTGAACACAACAGGAGCTATGAACCTCAGATCAAAAAGTACCCCTCCTCCATCAACCAGACTGAGACATCCCCACTGGACTTATTTATTAAGAACATTCCTAAGAAGGCCAATTCATTTTAGATGGGTTAAGGCATTTCATTTCCTCATAACATTCCACATTAAGTAGAAGATAATAGCATAAGTGAGTTTGCCTGATAATAAATATTTTCATTCAGCGGGGAAATAAATTAAGTGGAAGTTTGAAGACTTCAAAATGTCAAGTTTTTCAATTGAGAATGAGATTTTAGACTTAAATGTTGTTATAAGGAAATAAATAGGAGAAGAAAATGTTGGGGGTGCAAGCAGGTAGAGTGTATAAGAATTCTATTTGTAAATTAGGGAGAGAGATACAGGGTAAGAAGAATGTTCTCTTCATATAGGAGGGGTATGGGCAGGATAAATACTAAGCATTCAAATACCTTAAGTTCTCTAGTCTCCTGCAATGTTACATGATTCTGATTCTGAAACAAATAGAGAAAAGACCAAGGTATCAATCTTTTTAATGAGGTGACTGCACACCTTCCTATAACTCTGGTGTCAGTCAGCGACCAGTATATCTAGATGGGTCATAATGTTTGTAGGGCAATTCCTGAGCCTTGAAATTTTTCAGCAAATCTGGGGATGAGCTGATACCTGGTGAATGATAATCTATATTAACAAAAATCACAAGAGATTAGTTTTAAACCAGAGTCCTTCAAGATCAATTTACCTATGGGGAATATTAGTTTATTTGTTTTTTTTTCCCACATGGTAAATGCTCTTCTTAATATATTATAGAAGAGGAAAAAAATATTTTCCTTCTAGGTTCTTGCTGGAGATCCATATAACAGAAATCATATTAACAACAGAAAAACAATTGAAAGTTTATTAATATGTGCATCTCCTATACACATGGAGGTGGGATCAGGGATGAATAACTCAGAGGGGGCTAAAGTTCCCTTGTCTGAATTGAAAGTTCCTCCTGAATGCAATTATCATGAACTCCTTCTCTGCAATCTCATTAAACAAAAAATATTTATTTTTGGAAAATAAGACTGAAGATCTGAAATCTCATCCAGAAAGACTTTGTTGCAAGCAATCATCTATTCTTCTGAAGCCTGTTACCTGAGAGACTTCATGCACAGAGCAAACTCTCCTATTTGCCATGCATTTATTTCCTTTAATTCTCTTTGTAAACTATCATCATCCCCGCTACCACCCAGAATCCCAAGCCTTTATTCCCTCCTGTAGACAGAAATGCTTTTTACACTTCAAACATCTGGACCTTCTTTGAGTCTCATGATGAAACAGAACCCCTCTGAAGTTATTTTAGCTCCTGAACTTCTTTTTTTTTTTTTAAACTTTTTTGAGAATGGAGGCTGAGGGGCAGCCCCCTGACCCTAGTGGATGCCTGGGAAACAGAGAATGTGACTTGTTTCTTAGTCGAGCTAAATCCACATTTCCTAACTTTAGTCCCACTGTGCCTCCTTTATTCTTATTTTTTTTAAATTGGTTCTTTTCAGTTATACATGACAGTAGATTCCATTTTGATATAATTATACAAGCATAGAATATTCTTTTGCTAATTAGGCCCCCATTCTTGTGGATATACATGAAAGTGAAGTTCACTGTTGTATATTCATATATGTACACAGGAAAGTTATGTCAGATTCATTCCACTGACTTTCCTTTTCTTACCCTCTACCTTCCCTTCATTCCCCTTTGTCTAATCCACTGAACTTCTATTCTTCCACTCCTCCGGCTTCCCTTATTGTGGATTAGCTTCTACATATCAGAGAAAACATTTGACCTTTGGTTTTTTTGGGATTGGCTTATTTCACTTAGTTTCCAGATCCAAGTGTCATATGGCAAGTGTCATGAAGTCATTCTTCTTTATGGTTGAGTAATACACCATTGTGTTTACTTACCACATTTTCTTTATCCATTTATTTGTTGAAGGACACCTAGGATGTCTCCATAGCTTAGCTATTGTGAAATTTACTGCTATAAACATTTATGTGGCTGCATCACTGTAGTGTACTGATATTAACCCCTTTGGATATCTACCAAGGAATAGGAAAACTGGGTCAAATGGTGGTCCCATTCCTAGTTTTTTGAGGAATCTCCATACTGCTCTCCAGAGTGGTTGCACCAATTTGCAGTCCCACCAACAATGTATGACTGTGCCCTTTTCCCCACATCCTCACCAACATTTATTGTATGGTTTTTTTTTTTTTTTTGTATTCTTGATAATTGCTATTCTGACTGGAGTGAGATGAAATCTCAGTGTAGTTTTAATTAGCATTTCTCTAATTGCTAGAGATGTTGAATATTTTTTCATATATTTGTTGACCATTGGTATTTCTTCTTTTGAGAAGTGTCTGTTTAGTTTCTTTGCTTATTTATTAATTGGGCTGTTTGTTTGTTTTGGGTATTAAGTTTTTTCAGTTCTTTGTATATCCAGGAAATTAATGCCCTATCTGAGGTGCAGGTGGCAAAGATTTTGTCCCATTCTGTAGGCTCTCCCTTCACACTCTTGATTGTTTCTTTTGCTGTGAAGAACCTTTTTAGTTTGATGCCATACCATTTACTGATTTTTAAAATTTTACTTCTTGTGCTTTAGGAGTCTTTTTGAAGAAGTCAGTTCCTAAACTGACATGACGGAGTGTTAGGCCTATATTTTCTTCTAGTAGGCGCAGCATCTCTGGTTTAATTCCTAGGTCCTTGATCCACTTTGAGTACAGTTTTGTGCAGGATGAGAGATAAGGGTCTAATTTTATTCTACTGCATATAGATTTCCAGTTTTCCCAGCACCATTTGTTGAGGAGGCTATTTTTCCTCCAATGTATGTTTTTGGCATCTTTGTCTAGTATGAGATAATTGTACTTATGTGGATTTGTCTCTGTGACTTCTATTCTGTTCCATTAGTCTTCATGCCTGTTTTGGTGCCAATACAATGCTGATTTTGTTACTATAGCTCTGTAGTATAATTTAAGTTCTGTATTGTGATGCCTCCTGCTTCACTTTTCTCACTAAGGATTGCTTTGGTATTCTGGGCCTCTTATTTTTTCCTAATGAATTTCATGACTGTTTTTTCTATTTCTATGAAGAATGTCATTGGAATTTTAATGGAAATTGCACTGAGTCTATATAGTGCTTTTAGTAGTAATTTTGGCAATATTAATTCTGTCTATCCAAGAACATGGGAGATCTTTTAATCTAAGTTCAATTTATTTCTTTAGTGTTCTGTAGTTTTCATTGTAGAGGTCAATTGCCTCTTTTGTTAGATTGATTCCCAAGTTTTTTGTGTGTGGGGTTTTTTTTTTTTTTTTTGTTTTGTTTTGTTTTTTGTTTTTTTGAGGCTATTATGAATGAGATGATTGTCCTAATTTCTTTTCAGCTGATTCATCATCGGAGTATAAGAACACAATTGATTGATGTGTGTTAATTTTGTATCCTGCTATTTTGCTGAATTCATTTATGAGTTCTAGAAGTTTTATGGTGGAGTTTTTGGGGGTCTTCTAAATATAGGATCATGTTATTGGCAAACGGAGATAGTTTGAGGTGCTGGGGATATACCTCAGGTGGTAGAGTACTTGCCTTGCATGCATAAGGCCCTGGGGTTCAATCCTTAGCACCACAAAAAACAGCAGAGATAGTTTAAGCTCTTCTTTTCCTGTTCACATCCCTTTAATTTCTTTCTTTTGCCTAATGGCTGTGGCTGGAGTTTCAAGGATTATGCTGAATAGAAAGTGAAAAGGTGAAAGTGGGCATTTGTGTCTTATCCCTGTTTTCAGAAGGAAAGCTTTCAGTTTTTCTCTGTTTAGAATGATGTTGGCTTTGTGTTTGTCATATATAGCTTTCACAATGTTCTTTGTTTTGGGGGGGAGGCCGGGGGTGGGGTGGTAACCGGAATTGAACTCAGGGGCACTCAACCACTGAGCCACATCCCCAGCCCTATTTTTGTATTTTTATTTTAGAGACAGGGTCTCACTGAGTTGCTTAGTGCTTTGCATTGCTGAGGCTGGCTTTGAACTCACTATCCTCTTGCCTTTAGCCTCCCGAGCCGCTGGGGTTACAGGTGTGTACCACCACCCCTGGCTCACAGTGTTCTTTCTATTCCTATTGTTTTCTAGTATTTTAAACACAGATGGATGCTGTATTTTGTCAAATACTTTTTCTGCAACTATTGAGATAAATATATGGTTCTTGTCTTTAAG